TGCTATTATAAATTTTACACACACACACATAATTTTCTACTTGTGTAGAGGATTTACATGTCCAGGCATCAAGACTCACCCTACCTCTAGTGAAAATATAATGTGTTTGAAATTAGTAATTAACATAGGGTTTGAAATTCACACCAAGGGAACAGAATAGAGCGCCTAGAAATGAAACCACAAATAGACAGTCATTTGATTTATGACTAAAGCTTATAGCAATTTAGTGTGAAATGAACAGTCTGTCAATCGTATTGGGACAACTGGATATGCGTGTGGATGAAATATAGAAACTGGAAACAGTTTTATTCAAGATAAATCATATACATTAATGTGAAACCTAAAGAGAAATCTTGTGGTATGACTGTTTTCACAATGTTGGTTTAGATAAAGATTTCTTAAGCCTGACAAAAAGCACTGAAGTGACAAAAATCACTAATTTTCAAAATGTAATTATTGATACTATTTGAGGATATATCTACCATTTTAAAATTTTAATTTTAATGTGTTTGAGACAGGGTCTCACTCTGTCAGCCAGGCTGGAGTGCAGTGATGTAATTATGGTTGACTGTAGCTTTGAACTCCTGGACTCAAGTGATTCTCTCACCTTAGCCTCCCAAGTAGCTGGGACCACAGACACACGACACCATGCCTGGCTAATTTTTTTCATTATTATTATTATTTTTTGGTAGTTGTCCAAGCTGGTCTCAAACTCCTGGACTCAAATGATCCTCCCACCTTGGTCTCTCAAAATGTTGGGATCCACCACACCATGCCTATATCTACCATTTTAGTAGATGTTTTCTATTTGTCTCAACTGTATTATGTTCTTTTTTTCTCTTTTACTTGCCTTACTTTGGATTAATGAAACAATTTTAAAGTTACTGTAATTCCCCTGTCAGTAGCTTGATGATAAGATTTTCTTACTACTTCTTCAGTTGTTACTCTAGGTATTGAAGCACACATTCTGGATATGTTGGAGTCTAATATAAATTAGTACTTTTATCTCTTTATAGATGTATCATGAACCTTAAACTACTTTAACTCTATTTAATTCGCTCCACATACTGTGTTATTATTCTAATGTATTTTAATTCTACATATATTTTAAATCCCACAGCTGATTATCATTCTTGGTCTGCACAGTTATTATTAATTTCAATTTACCCACTTTCTTGCTCTTCATTCCTTCCATTATTTTGTGCGTGTTTGTGTGTGTGCCTCTGTCTAGGTCATTTTCTTTATGTATGAATAATTATTTTTAGTATTTCTTTTTATAGGTGGTGGTTTTTATGAGATATTACTATGGAAGGAAGTGTTGGGAAGGGAAGGGAATGGTCCCTTTAAATGATACGGAAAAGAGGAAGGGCGTGGTCCCTGGCTAGGGCTCCACCCCTGGGCCTGTGCCTTGGGACCTAGGTGAGGACAGGCACTCCTGCCTTTGCACCCAAATGTTGTGTTTCCCAAGACCACCCTAGCCTGCCATGCCCCCATCCTGTGCCTATAAAAACCCCCGACACCCTAGCAAGCAGACACACAGGCAGATGGACGCCGAGAGGAATGCACCGACAAGCACCAGCATGCCAGCAGGCCACCGACCAGCAGAACTACACGAAATTTAGCTGGAGCAGTTGGAGGAGAGCCCAGGCCACTGAGGGGCCCGACTCCAGTGGAAAACCTTCCCACTCTATCCCCTTCTGGCTTCCTCCATCTGCTGAGAGCTACCTCCGCTGAATAAAACTTTGCACTCACTCTCCAAGCCCAGGTGTGATCGATTCTTCCAGTGCACCAAGGTAAGAACCCAGGATACACAAAGCAGCCTCTCCTTGCGACAAGGTAGAGGGTCTAATTGAGCTGGTTAAGACAAGCTGTCTATAGACCGCAAAACAAAAAGAGCACACGTAGCAAACACCCACTGGGGCTTCAGGAGCTGTTGAAGACACTGCCGTGGGGTCAAAGCCCCACAGCCTGCTCCTGTGTGCTCCCCTAGAGATTTCAGTAGTGGGGCACTGAAGAAGCGAGCCACACCCCCATCACGCGCCTGCGAGGGGGACAGGGGAACATTTCCCGTTTCGGTATCTCCATTATTGTTTATCTAAAAAACCATTTGTGTTTTCTGCAGCGCTTCAAAGATGTCATTCCATTTTCTTCTGGACCTTTTAAACACCTCTCTGATTTTAGATTTCAACAGTTTGAATGTAATAGCTCAGTGATTTTTTTTGCACATATTCTCTTGAGTTTGCTGATTCTGTTAAACCTATGGGTTAATATGTTGATATCTTTCATCAGGCTTGGAAAATTCTCAGCCCTTATCTTTACAAAAATGATTCTTGTTCCTTATCTCTCTCCTCTCCTTCTGGGGCTACAGTTGCATCTGTGTTAGACCTTTTTATCATTTTCCATTTGTCTCTTATTATTTTTTCTCCATATTCTATTTCTTTCTTTTTTGCTCTAGATGGTATATTTCCTGCTGTCCTTTCTTCCATTTAACCTCTATTCATATGGGTTCAATTTGCTGTAAACCTAAGTTCTTAGTATCAGTTATTATATCTTTATTTTTACAATTTCTATTTGGTATTTCTTATTGATTACTGCCCTGGGGTTCAATTTTCCACCTTTTCTCACATTCGTGAACATAATAATCACTGTTATTTTACAGGATATCTTAAATAAACACTGTATCTCATCCAACTGTTGTTCTTTTCTGTTTATCCCCCCTGTTGGTCCTGTATCTTGATATAGTTGGATTTTTCTAAATGCCCAATATTTTATATGAAAAATATTGGGTAAACCTGTGGTTTATGTTATTTTCCATTAAAGAAGGTTTACTTTGGTTTCTAATAATCATTTTAGAGTTGAAGAGAATCACTCTAATTGATTCAGAGACTGAAGTGATTTCAGATTGGATTTCTGGGTACAGGGGGCCTGTTCTAATTCAGGTTTGCCTTTACTCCTAGGACAGAGATTTCCAGAAGTTCCAAGAACCAAGTCTTAGCTAGTTCACCAGGGCCCTCCTCCTTGATAGGTCTTGAATTCAAATTTTTATTTCCCCGAAGAGCAATACTTCTAAAAACTTTGTTTAACTTCTCAGCCTCTGACTGCTTTCTATGTTTCCTGTGTTACTTAGGTATCATGAAATACCTCAGGGAGGAAAAAGGCCCTGGGTATGTGCTGCTTCCCTGTGCTTTCCTTCTCCCTGGGATATGACCTTATCCCTTCCAACTTCGGAATGTCCTCATAGTACAATTTTTATCTCCCAAGCCTTGAGAGTCTATTAACACCTGTTTAGCCAACACTTTCTAGTTGGCCTTTTACTGGAAATCTGAAATCTGTACTTCCTCTACAGTGTGGCATATGAATTGGTAAAGTTCTCGAAAGGAAAATATAGCAGAAAATGTTGGACTCACTGCAGTGAATTTCCCATTTTTTAAGAAAGGAATTTTAGCTTCTCAATCCTCTTCATAGTTGTCTCAGCTCCTAGTCCTCCTTTTCCTCCTCTTCATTTTTCTTCTTCTTCTCTGTCTCTGTCCCTCTTGCTCTAAATATATATGCATATATTTGGTTTACTGCATGCTAATCTGTCACAGTCTTAAGCAGAAATCCCCAAAGAGTTTATGTGAAAAATGAGCAACTCCAATTTGCCTAAATTGGCCTGTATTTTTCTAGTTCCAACTGAAGAATTTTTGGCACCTTAGTATTTAGAAGATTGAATACAATTGAAAGGCACTCATTAAGGAGATAATCAGGAATGGAGTATTGGGTTACACAGTGGTTCTGTAAATGGCCCTTGGACCAGAGATATGCACACCATTTGAGCTAGAGTTTCAAACTCGTTATTTCAGTTATTTTTCCTATGAGAATTAAAATACTACAAATGTTCATCAAACCTGACAAAGCAATCATAAATGCTTCATCTTTCCACCTTCATGTCACACTCCAGAGTCTCTGACTTCTCTATACCCCTAGCCTTGCCATGGTTTTTGTTTTTCTTGAGCACAATGCACAACCTGTGAACTTGTTAGAAATGTATATTCTTGGGCCTGACTCCAACCTACTGAATCAGAATCTTTAAGGATGTGGCCAAGAGAACTGTGTTTTCACATGCTCTCCAGGTGATTTTCTTATACCTGGTAAAAACTGAGGGTCACTGGACTATCAGCAGAGGAAGCTGGAAGTCAATGTTATATATTTTAATTCTGGTGTCATTGTTAGCCCTTAAAATCCCTTCGTATTTACAGGGCTTTACACAATGGTAACCATAATTAGGTACCCAGAAAACGTGACTGAGGATAGGACTGCTTGGTTTAATAATTGAGATGATTTAATGTCAGTACTTATCCTTTAGAGACCGTTTTCCTCATTTACAAGATGACAGAATTCCTGTGTATATTCTAAAATATATAAGATAAATTTCATCTTATCCACCATATAAATAGACATTTCAGACAACCATAATCTGGCAAATAATAATGCATGCTTTTAATGATACCCCTGAGGTGCTACACAATACACATTCTTAACTGCCAGATAAATTACACTCAATTATGTTTAGATTGGCCTCAGTGCTATATGCATGACCATCATGTTGCCCTTGGAAAATAAAACCCTGCAGGCTGAGAGGGGATGAAAGTATTAGCATCTCTCAGGTTAGTTTAGTATGTGTATATATTAAATTATTTCAGGAATATTATTTATGTATTCTGAGAAAATGGATTTTGCTAAAATTGCCAATAAGGCAAGATTAAATCTGACAGAGCCTCCAAAAGTAAGAGATTAAGTATGAGTGAAAAACAACTTGTGGTGAAATGTATGTAATTAAAGAAATAGATCAGGGAAGGTGAAGTGATAACAACAAAAACCAAGGAAGTAAAAGTAAAATAAAAATTTTTAAATAGCATCTAAAATGGAGAAAGTTGAAAAAGATACGGAAACAAAACCATGGTTTATTAAGAAAAATCACTGGCCATAGAAAGTAGCAGGGAGATAGGAATCAGTCCTACCTCTTCTAATTGCACCATGAGAGTGACGTTGTGTCCTTGTTCCGCTGTCAGCTTTCCATCAGCCGTGACTATCCGCAGCCCCCGCGGGGCTTTCCCTGGGCACTTCTGTGGTTTAGCAGTGTACTGTTCCCTTACTCCATCAGTGCAATTATTGGAAACCACCTTCCTGTACCTAAATGGAAAGAAGCTCAAGTTGTAAGGCAGCTCATTATAATGTGAATCATTCCCACGTTTCTAAATTAGACATAGTGCCTAGCCCTGAGGACCACCAGTAAGCATGTAACCATCTTTCATGCTACTACGAAGAGTAGGGTTAATTCATATAAAGCACCCAATAGAGAGATAATCATGGTCACACGCTGTATCTATTACTAGCATTGTAACTGAGTTTTATTCATCTCTTAAATTAATGAATCACTTCATTGTGGAGTTGTGGGAAATGCGCAGAAATAGAAGATATAGCCCCTACTCTCACTAAGTTTATGAGCTAGTTGGAGAGACATAGATGGCTAATCTAGGAGATAATTCAAAGGCTATATAATTAAGAACTAGAATGAGTAATAAATATTGCAAAGGAATTTACAATTCAGAGAAAGAATAGATTATGATGGATAGGTGACTCAACATTCATAGATCGCGTAGAGGCTGCTACAGTTATGGTGTAGCACAGACAACACTGGCTAAATTTGATATTTCTACTCAATATTTCATGAGAGGTTATACTGGTTAAATGATCAAACCTCACATTAAAGAGACTTTAGTTTTTGCAGATTGATGCTCTTTTGCTTATTTCTTGTTTTAGCTATAATGGGAAAAAATTTATTCTATAAAATTAACCTATATAATTTATCAGATTCATAGTAAATTAAAATTTGCAATTTTAGGATGACAAACCTTTAAGATTTTTGAGGTTCAGTGTTATCTAGCCATTATCATTTTATACTGTTGGGTCCATAGCAACCACTTTATGTATGTATATATTTGATTTCCCAAGTTTACGTGCCTAGAGTTAGTGGTAGAGCCCAAATGAGAAGCAATCAAAGCTTACTTTCCCCTCTTCTAGACCAGAGGTCAGCAAACTTTTTATATAAAGAGCCAGATAGTCAATGTTTCAGTTTTGTAGGTGATGTAGACTTTGTCACAACTACTTAACTCTGCACTTACTGTATGAAGGCGAACACAGACAACACATGAAAGAATGTATGCAGCTGGATTCCAGAAAGCCTTTATTTACAAAACTGGCATAGTTTTCCAATATGTTTAAGTCCAGTGAATGCCCTTTCCTCTGCGAGAAAGTCAAAGGAGATACTGTCTGGAAAAGTATTTTGAACACTATGGATCACTACAATGTCAATTATTAATGCTTAACTCATTTCATATGTTAAATGTAAGAATTAAATGGGTTAATAATGTACACAGAGTACTTAAAAGTATCCTAATACTCTGCAAGTGCTCAAAAAATATTACCAATTATTTCTATTTAATATTATTACTATTTCTCTTCTCTGTTCAAAACCTTTATGGACTTCATATGACCTTAGGATAAGCTGTAAATTCTGTAATCCTGGGCACTAGCTAATTTTATCAGCTCCTAGCTAATTTTATTCTACTTTCCTGGACTCTTTCTCCCTCATAAGCCCATGTCCATTCTGTTTTTAATTTTCTTGAGAGTACTTGTTTTTTCTCCTTTTCTGCTTCAATGTCCTCTTGCATGCCCTATCATCTGCCTAAAATGTGCCCACCCTTTAAGGTACAGCTTACTTCTTGTCTTCTTTAAGACAATTTCTCTGAATATAAGAGTAAAATGGCAGGAATTTCATATTTAGAGAGTGCTTACTATGTCCTAGTTATTGTGCTAAGTTCTTTACATAAATTAACTCATTTATCTTCAAAAGTATCCATAATACGATACTGTAGCTATTCCCAATAAACAGATGGAGGAATTGAGATTCATAGGTGCCAACCGGTTTTCTCAAGAGCCAGGACCCTAGACAATTTGTAGCACACATCCCCTCTTTACTACTGCACTGCTGCTTTAAATGGAGTGAGATTATCCCTTCTCTAAACCCTTAAAAGAATCCTTATGATTTACTTGATAGGAATTCTTTATACCTTGTATGATTTTCTTCCTGGTGTGGCTGTGTGAACTTCAAGCTCGTTGAGGGCCTCCTTGTGTTCCAGACATTCAAAGCTGGTAATCAGGAGGGCCATACCAGTAACTGTACCAGTTTAAATGTGGAAATATCTGCATATTAATTGGTTATTACCACATCCCCAAACCCTCCAAGCATCTCACTCACCAACCCAGCTATGCTGATCCCTGTCCTTAGAGTCCTTGCTTCTCACAATTCAGCAACTTATGGGTTAACACCTAGCCCATGAGGGGGTCACCGAAACTCTGCTCCAGACACAAGATCACTGCTCATGCTGGTTGGTCATTGTTACGTCTAAGCAATTTGAACATCATTCCATCTGATTTTTTTTTTTTAATATAGTCTCGCTCTGTTGCCCAGGCTTTACTTGGCTCACTGCAGCTTTATCGTGGCTCACTGCTGCTTCCACCTCCTGGGTTCCAGCTATTCTCTTGCTCAGCCACCCAAGTAGCTGGGATTACAGGCATGTGCCACCACGAATGGCTAATTTTTGTATTTTTAGTAGAGATGGGGTTTCACCATATTAGCCAGGCTGGACTCAAACTCCTGGCTCCAAGTGATCCGCCCGCCTCAGCCTCCCAAAGTGCTGGGATTAAAGACATGAGCCATCACACCTGGCCCCATCTGATATATTTTTTAAAAACTCCTTTGTAGTTGCTTATGAGTATATGTATATTAAAAGAGAAAATAAGGGCAGGTGAGAGAGAGAAGGAAATAAAACACAAAATGCATACACTGGTGTATGATAGCATCCTGGTACCAGCAATAGTAGCAAGAAAATGACCAGTGATGCCACCCAGGTTAAGTTTGGTATCTCAGTGAGTTTCACTATGCATCAGAGACTGCCTACAGGTTTCAGAGGTGAGGCACTGTACAAACTGAAGTCAGGTTATGATTTTTAATCACTCAGCATCCAAGCACACCTGTGACCCTCTCTTGGTGTGCAGCTATAGAAACATGGGTTCACCATCACCACTAGTATCATCAGCTAGAGAACATTCTTTTGTTTGTCACTGTTCTGATCAATTGTTACCTTAGGCTTTCCTGAATCCTGCAATAACAGGAGTTCTGCTTAAATCCAAAGCACGAATCCATTCCCCTGGGACTATGCCACAGAGAAGGCTGTTGGTAATTTTTTTAAATGCTCATTAAAAACCATTCTGAAACCATTTTATTTCCTCTATGAAAATGGCATCACATTAGCCCTACCAGACCTGTCCCTGAAATTTAGAAGAAAATTGTGCCGTAATACAGAGTTCATTTACTCAAGTAAGCACACACCTGCTTTCTGCATTACAGAATGGTTCTATTTTCATCCCAGCAGCTGTCCCTGGGTCTGAGTTATATAAATGAATAATGCATTTAATATGTTATTAAATGGGGCTGCTACCTCCGTAATAACAAGGCAACTTATGATTATGTTGGACCTGCGCTCTGAATATTACTGGGATGCATTTAGTTGGTAAAGCATTCTTCAATCTGCCAAGAAGAAAAGTGCTTTGTAATGGCAAGGGAGTCTTTGTACAATTACTGAAAAGGAAACATTCTGCAAATGTGCCTTTGATATTACCGATGGTTCATCAGTAGATAGGATTTTATTACTCCAACAACCTCAGTTTCAGCTATTCTCTTCCTCCCTATCTTGATATGCCTCTGTCACATTTTCCTTTTTGTCCCTACCCTCTTTGATTTTGCTTCTTTGCTACCTGGAAGTCTTAAAAAAGATGGAGGCAATAGGCCGGGAGTGGTGGCTCATGCCTGTAATCCCAGCACTTTGGGAGGCTGAGGCAGGCAGATCACGAGGTCAGGAGATTGAGAACATCCTGGCTAACATGGGGAAACCCAATCTCTACTAAAAATACAAAAACAAAATTAGCTGGGTGTGGTGGCGGGCGCCTGTAGTCCCAGCTACTCCGGAGGCTGAGGTGGGAGAATGGCGTGAACCTGGGAGGCGGAGCTTGCAGTGAGCTGAGATTGTGCCACTGCACTCCAGAGCGAGACTCTGTCTTGAAAGAAAAAAAGAAGGCAATATTTTTCTTTGTGAAAGTAAAACTGGAAGAAAGCATTAAAAGTCTTTGTAGCCCGTGACTTTTCTATTTAGTAGATTTTTTTTCTGACATTTTGAGGTGGTGATGGCAAAATACAGATGTTTTTGAGTATTCAATTTATATTAAGGGGACAGTATATTCTAGCTTAGTAGATCTCAACCCTCTCTACCCTTTGGAATTAGCTGGAGGTACCTTTAAAATAGATGGATACCCAGGCTCTGCAACCAGAAATGTTGATTTGAGAATTATGAGGATCAGTGTGTTTTTGTTTTTAAGTTCCCCGGTGATGCTAGTTTGCAGCCAATGTTAAAGACTACAAATTTAAGAAGACAAAAACCAATAGATGTCGGTGTGGATGTGGTGTAAAGGGAATGCTTATATATGGCTGGTAGGAATGTAAATTAGTACAAATTAGTACCATGTCTATGGAAAGCAGAATGGAAATTTCTTAAAGAACTAAAATTAAATTTACCATTCAATCCAGTAATCCCACTACTGGGTATCTACCAAAAGGAAAAGAAGTCATTATATCAAAAAGACATGTGTACATGTATGTTTATCACAGCACAATTCACAATTGCAAAGACATGGAACCAACTTAAGTGCCTATCAGCTGATGAGTGGATAAAGGAAATGTGGTGTATAAACACAATGGAATACTACTCAGTCATAAAAAAGAATGAAATAATGTCCTTTGAAGCAACTTGGATGGAGCTGGAGGCCATTATTCTATATGAAGTAACTCAGGAATGGAAAATCTAATACCACATGTTCTTACGTATAAGTGGGAGCTAAGCTATGGGTACACAAAGACATAGAGAGTGGTATAATGAACTTTGGAGACTCAGAACGGGTGAGGGAAGAAGGAGGGTGAGAGAAAAAACTACGTGTTGGGTACAATGTATGCTACTCAGATGACAGATGCACTAAAATCTCAGACTTCATCACTACACAATCCATCCATGTAACCA